CACTCGCTTTTCCACTTTTACCCCTCTCGAATACCTCAAAATTACACTAATACCCTTTCTACTAAATCCCGACTCAGTCAACCTACTTACTAGGTTCTTGATCATAGCCTAACCATTCTAACCCATAGAAGAGTCCACCATTACCAGCACCACATCCCCCCCGAACAACTAATCACACACGACATACCCCTTGCCTTCTCTTCATCTTACCCAGTCCTTGCCAGACACCTTTTATCAAGGTTTTCTAACTACTAACCACGAATCCCTTTCATTCCACGGTGGGATTTACCTAAGTATTTTCATCACGTACACTACCCCCCACTTCTCACCCTTGCCCACACGGGCAACTTTCCTCTCACATACCAGCAACTCTTGAACCCTTGTCCCTTCCCATATACCGCATCACGTTCTGGTTTAGGCTTTCCCTTTTCGATTCATTCAACAAGGAGATACATAATAAGTTTACTCAACAGAGTAGAACAATCAGATATAGGTCATCATAATCATTTAGCGATTCCGGAGAAATACAATATCAATTATCGAACAACACATAATTTCACAATTCTCAAGATATACAGTTATGTCAAGTCAATGGTTCTCTTATGAAACCCACACCCAAATAGTTAGTGTACCGGTACGTGGTACTAGTTCTAAGTAAGCGTGTTGGATCATGACACCCGTTTCAATATTTATGTCGGTACGTGGCAACCGATCCTAGTTGGTGTGTCAGAACACAACACCCGATCCATTCAACAAACCACAATCACAATCACAATCACAAGTATATTCTCATAATCATACAATCAAGTCATGATTCATGACATTCAATTATCCATCCATTCTCATTTACAATTAGTGTGATAAATAATGTAACATTCGCATACATCCATGTATCATAATGAAGCAAGAACAAACATATATCACACAACATGAAATCACAACCATCACCAACCCTAGTTCATCTTCTAAGGCTTCTTCCTATGATCTAATCATCTTTTATTCGGTACATGAAGGCTTACGTATAAATCCTACCATTGATTAAGATTATACTACGCAGTGAACACAATTTTACAACTACTCAATTAATAAACCTAACCTACCTGGGCGCCAAATAGCTGTACGGAGTTTTTGGCTTCGATTCTTGTTTCCGAACTTCGTGACGGTGGGTTTGACCAAGGATTCACAAGCTATCGACCTCCTTACGCTAGAAATTTCCTTATCCTTCCTTCCCAATCTTAGAGCAGCTTTTTGAGGGTTTCTAGGGTGGTTTACGTCTAAATTAAGTGTTTTAGGAAGAAAGAGAAAATAAGATTTCGCGTTATTTACATTCTGCCTTGCCCAACCCGCTCTGGCGGCAACTTACCCTGCCGTGGCGCCGCCGCCTTAGCGGCATCTGGCCCGCCCTGGCGGGACAGGGCCCCCAGTACTTTTCCAAAGTTTTGCTTTTCCTAAATAACGATGGGTCGGATCATTATAGAAAGGAATTCACTATCAAGATAGCTAGCAAGAGAAGTATAGAGATAGATTATAGATATCTTCTGGATCTGCCCAAGACTTTAGCAATGGGTTTAATTTATTTGGGTTAATATAAATAAAAGGTCGAATGAGTTTCAATTTGATAATGACTCGTTTTTAAGAAAAATCGATAATTTGGGCTGATTTGAGGCTTTTCGTCAAATTAGAGATATGAGTGACAAGTTTGTAAATTGAGGGATATAAATGACACATAGTATAACAGAGGATAAAACTAGCAAAGTTGCAGAATATCTTTGACCCTTCTCCTATTAAAATTAGGAAAAATTGCCTAAATATACAATTTATTTTATCATGTTCTCTAAACTTTCCTATCATTTGTAAAAGTTACAAAAATCTCTACTTTTTCCTATTCTCGCATACATCACTTTACACGATTTATCGGTCAGATACATCACTTTACATGATGTATCGGTCGGATACATCACTTACACTATGTATCAAGACGTTGAGTGATGTATCCGAAACTGAGACGCGATGTATTGAAACCTTGAGGATGTATAAGCTGGGACACGATGTATCAGGACGTTTTGGGATGTATTTGAATTCCACCAAATTTAAGGAATTTTTATAAATTGAAACAAAGAGCAAGGATAAGATATAATTAGTTGTTAACCATATAAGATTTAAAATTATGCTATATTTGATTGAAGTTTATGAATATATCTCAAACTGCAGTAGGATAAATTGAAAGTAAGTCATCAAAGGCAAAGTAGGAAAAAAAGGATGATAAATTCTACAGAAGAGTCAAAGCTGAAAATAGTGATGTTCCCATGGCTTGCTTTTGGGCACTTGATCCCATATATGTTGTCATGCCCCGAGCCTACACCCTGGGTGGGACTGACACTCGAAGATCATTGCTGGCCCCAAGCGAACCCTTGGCCTGGCTTACTTAACTCAGCGGAAGACAATATTCATATCTATAATGATCAATGAAATTAACTGAACTGAATAATAAAATAACTGAGAATGTTTTAAAGATTAAACATTCAACTTGGCCAAAAGTGGCAATCCAAGTCTTTAACATAAGAATGATAATGCAATGACTACTGAACTACTAACTGTCTATTAAGCCTCTAAAACAAAGAGGGATGTCGGGACAGGACCCCCGATCATCCTAACATCTGAAAGACTAGAAAGCAAATAAAAGAGTCTTCTGGAATACAAGAAGGCTCACCAACAGACTCTGAATGCTCAAGTTAGATCAACGAGGCGCTGGATGCTAATCCTGGTTACCTGCGTCTGCATCATAAGACGATGCAGGCCAACTGGTATCAGTATATTGAATGTACGAGTATGCGAGTTGGAATGCTAACAAACATAGGCTTGATAGAGGTTCTGAAAGAAACACTTACCTGGCTCTTCTCAACTCATAAATACTCAACTCAATGTAAAGCAATAAAACATATATATATATATATATATATATATATATATAAAAGGCTTATAAAACAACTGAAAACAATCTTAGTTCGTTAAAGATAAAGCAATAACAAACTTAACTTTACTCATTTAGAAAGTAATATAACTTTTGTGGGAGATTCTTTAACCGACAACCATCACTATGAACCTAAGTGATGGTACAACGTTTTACCTCACGTTGCCAAGGACCATCCTATACCTTGCCATCGGTATAGAACCTGAACTACTAAGTGGATCCACTAGTCTATGCTAAAAAGCACTAAGGAATCATCTAAAAAGTATGATCCATTTTCTGCCCATGATGGCTACATGTTTTGTGGGGGCTTGAGTTAATATGAACTCGCGTCCCCATATTGGTGCTCAATACTACTCCCAAAATATACTTAGCTCATATGTTTTTAGAACAACTTCTTCTCTAGTTTGAGGTCAATGCTCAAACTTAGCTTAAAAAGCTCTCTTGGAATCAATGTTCCCTTTTTGCTGTTCAAAACTCTTTTGGAAATCTCAGTTTCCTCTCATTTCAAATGTGAAAAACATTTACTCTTGGAAATACTTAGTTCCCATATATCATTTTAAAGAAGATGAACTTTGCTCTTACTCTTTACTCAACTTCAAAACTTAAGTCTTAAAACAAAGTGAAAGCGTTTGTAAAAGACTTATGAAAACTTGAAATGAACTTCTCTTACTGACTCTTGACTTCTTTTGACTTTACTCTTTACTTTCCTTGAATTTGAATTATGGATTCAAAGATTATGATTTGTGATAGGAAAGGTCTCTTGATGTTTAGGAATGATTTGGAATAGCTAAACTTGAGAAAAGTTACGAAATCACCGTCTTGGAACAAGTCGCGACGCGGAGATGTTTCTAAATAATTATTCGCGAAATTAAATTTTGAGACAGTGGAGTCCGCATCCTCTCCGCGACGCGGAGCATATTTTTGTTCACTGGGAGAACAAGTCCGCGTCGCGGACTTGTTTCATGAAGCTTACTCGACTTTTTCCTTCTTCGTTTTTCAGCCTCAATCCACCTAAATTTGATTATCTTCCTTAAATTCGTTTTAAATCCCGTTGCCCAGCATGTATACTCAAGAAACTAACCCAAAGCAACCCTAAACTCAATGTAAGGATCTCATAAACTTCTCAATTCGTCCTAATTCGCTAACAACTTTCGAATTCAAGAATATTTGTCAAGAACATCAATTTTCCAACTCTTCTAGGATAAATTTCAGTGAACTAAACATGCTTGGCGCGTGGGTGAATGAACCCAACGCTATGAGAGACTCACATACCAGGTGGGATCAAATCCGAGATCAAATCCTTTCGAAATGATGAATCTTGCTTTTCCTCTTCTCTTTTCTCTTGCGTTCTTTCTCCAAAAACCCTAACTCTATTTTTCAAAAGCGTAAACTGAACCCACTCAGTTTAGCCCCTAAAAATATTACCAAAAATGAATTAATTAAGTTGGGTAAGGAAAAGACCAAGCTACCTCTTAAAAATCCGGATTGGACTTTCCTTATTCCAACAGCCCAACTTCCAAAGGGCATAACTCACTCATCCAAACTCGGAATCGCCCAAAATTAGCGGCGTTGGAAAGATCATTCTAAGAGCTTTCCAACCATATCTGGAACTACACTTAACTCATCCTGAGCTAGGAGTTATGGTCATTTTAAGTTGACCAAAAACTCACTTTAACTTGTAATTTTCCAGATTTCTTTTACTTTCCAAAAATAACTATTTCCAGATTTTAAACTTCTAGTTCTTTCTAGTTGCGAGATGTTACATATGTATCTCATTTCTCAAACTAATAAGTGATAGTTTAGGTATGAAATTCACACTCTCAATAGTTTAGGTATGAAACTAAAAAAAAAAAAAGATTGTTTAAATGTGTTTTTGACAATTATCTCAATATTTTGACAAATTAAGAATATTCAACTGACTATCCTTTGGTCTAAGTATCTCCATCATGATTTTAATCTATTACTGTATATTACTTTGCATAAATTCTTCAACTACACTAAGAATCTACGTTATAAAAATATACATAACCTAATATGTATTGAGTAGCTGCATTTGGAATATGTACTCAATAGATCGAATCTTACTATTTGATATCGACTGAGTTATAATTGGAATGGTTATGCCAGAATATGAATTTCCAGAAACGTAAAATGGATTTGAAATGAATTGTGGATGATCACTGAAATAATTAACTGATGATTAAGTAAACATGAATTTAATTTTATTTATAATAGCAAATATAGGAAATTACGTATGCATTTGTTGCATATGAAAATCTAGTGTTTACTGGTTGATCCAAAAATATTACTTGCTATCTGAAAATTGATAATCAAACTATATATATACGCAACTTTTCTTTAATCATGTAGTAATTTACCTTTGTCCATGCGTGTAAATTTTGTACGAACGAGGGCATACTCCCATTGTAGACTTGTTCCACAAAACGGACTGGTCCTGAAAAAAAAAGAAGGAAAAATTACATAAATACACAACTTATTTTTACTATATTTTTAAAAATTTTCTATCATATTATTGGGTACATCACTTTACGCGATATATCGATCGAATACATCACTTTATGTGATGTATCGGGATGTTGACTCGTTGAGTGATGTTTATGAAATCGAGACGTGATGTAAAGGGATGTTAAGAGATGTATCCGAAACCGAGACGCGATGCATCAGGACGTTTTGAGATGTATCTGAATTCCACCAAATTTAAGGGATTAATTTGGAAAAGAGTAGGGAAAAAATATAATCAACTCTTAACACTCTATGATTTGTGTAAAATTCCCAAAAAATAAAATTTCTTACTCTTAGCTTGGACTAGTTTTTTTAAAATTTTTATTTTTACAAAGGTGTTTGTTTAATCTTATTTTTAAAAAGTGTTTGTTTGAAAAGGAAAAAGAAATATGTTACGTTTGGAAAACATTTGTAGAACATATCCATAAATGTTTTTAAACAAAATTTTCTTTTGTAATTCAAACACAATTAATTCTCCCTCTAAGTTGAATAATTAATTTTAGGGAATTAATTTCTTTTTAAAACCATTTTAATTTATTTTTTTTGTCTTTTTTCTTGTTTTGACGACTTTTAAATTTTAATTTTCCACTTGATATGTTTAAAATTGCAAGATTAAAGGATATATAGTACTTATTCTCTCTGTTCACTTTTACTTGTCCATTATTTCAAAAATAAATTTTTACTTTTACTTGTCACTTTTAATGTATCAAGAACATACAATAACTAATTCTAATTATACTTTCAAATAATTATGTATCTTACCATTAATTACTAGTTTTCTATCATATATTGGGGAAGATACACGTAGATACATGTATTTTTGCTACAAATACAGAGAGAGAGAGGCGAGCGAGATAATAATATATCTCAGATACATGTAAATCACGCTAGATACATATATTTGTATGTATCTACCTTAATGGACACTCATCCTTATGTATCTCAAATACATTCGAATCCACTTGGATACAATGTATCTAAAACAAATTACACATAATTATGACCTTATATATTCAGAGATACATGTATCTAGATGTATCTTTATGCACCAAAATATGATAAAATTTATAAATATTACAGACTAGAGTGTATCTGAATAATTAACTTCTAAACTAATAAAATTTCTCATCTAAATATGACAACTTAACAAAGTAATATATTTTTTAATTTAAAACTACAACATTTTTGGAAAAGTTTAACTTTCTAAACTTTGCGTAGTATCAAAATCAAACCAATAAATTAAAATAATGAAAATACAAAAGTACCTATCTCATTAAAAATGACAATGACAGAAGAGCAACCTGGACCACCAGATAGCCAAACCAACAGAGGATCGGTTGTAGGCTCGGATTCAGATTCCAAAAAATAGTACAAAAGTTGCACCTCCTCATCTTTACCAATTCCAACATACCTACTTAATTAATAATTAATTACAATTTATAGTGTAATATCAGTATAAATTTTTTAGAAGTAGTAGTAAATGAAATGGCATGGACCCGTTATCACTAACACATCATCAATCACTATATATTTTTCAGGCACCATTATTATCGGTGTTATTTTCACCACCTCCATTATTACTATCCACCAGTGGCAAGGTGAACGCACAACCTTGAGGAACTTTTGATACATCTTAATCACTAGATTAAGCCTTTCACTTGTGTCAAGATGTGTCAATATTTACATATATATTTTTAAATCAAATTTGATCTCTATATACACTGTAATTTTTCGATAAAGGGGTGTCGCTTGACAGCCAAGGGTGGATCCGCCCCTTTCACTTTTAAACTTTTTTTTTTGGAGGGGAGAGGAGTGGGATAAGAAAAAAATAAATCTTATTTTAAAAGCATTTTTTTAGGGGGGGGAGTCGGGGTACTCGGTAAAAAAACTTTTAAAATCTTTTGGGGGATTGGGGGTTTCTGGGTAGGGGATGGGGTGAGGTAAGAAAAAAAAAAATCTTCTTTACTAAATTTTAACATATAATTATTTGAATATTTTTTTTTACTATATATATCTATGAGTACGCAACATATACACATAAGTGGATAAGATGAGTGTTTTTAAATTAGTTAATCAAGTAGATGAGTGTTTTTAAAGTTGTCAATAATTGGGAGATTAAAGTAATAATTCATGTCAAGTTTAAGAATGTTTTCAATAATTATCTCTTATTACAATCATTAACACCAATCATTATCACTACCATCTCTACAAATCATTTCCACCATGTTTGACATAGTTATTCTTAATTTAAAACTTGTAAAATTGAAATTCAAACTTGTTCTAAATATATTAATTCGAGCTCACCCAGTCTCTAGATGGAACGGGAGGCGGCCCTGCAAACTGGGAAGATACTCCACCGTGGCATCCGAAGTAGCTTGTTGTTGTTGAAGTTGAAGAAGAAGCAGAAGCACAACTTGCAGTTTCAACAAGTTCTCCATTATTCCTAAATTATTGATAGTCATTTTACTAAGTAATAAATAATAACAGTTATCTATAGTAATAAACAAAGGGACAAAATTTATAGTAATAAAGTTTAGTTCCCACAAGTCACTCTCCATGCAGGTGTCCCACTCAATTGAGTTATTTTTCAATAGTGAACCGAATTAGTTTGAACCATAGAATCGAACACCAATATCTGCACAGCCGTACAAGTAACTTTGTCCCTTAATACAGGCAAGTCCCGAAACAGAGTAGCAATTCATAAAAAATGACAGAATTCATAGAGTCAAAGTTGGAAATAGTGATGTTCCCATGGCTTGCTTTTGGTCACTTAATCCCATGTCAAATGAACTTGCAAAAAGAGGTCACAAAATCTCATTCTTGTTGCCCAAAAATGCTGAGATTAGACTTCAAAAACTCAATCTTTACCCAAATCTCATCACATTATATAAACTCACAATACCTCATGTTGATGGCCTCCCGTATGGAGCAGAGACTACAGCTGATGTTCCTGGATCATTGGAGAGTCTATTAGCAACAGCTTTTGATGAATTGTATGATGAAATCAAATCTTTTCTTCAAAATCTAAAACCCCATTTTGTTTTCTTTGATTTTGCTTATTGGATTCCTGATTTGGCACGAGAAATTGGGGATATCAAGACTCTATGTTACAAAGTTGTTTGCCCTGCTGCATCATCTATAGCATTGATTCGATCACCGGTTAAGACTACATTTATGGCATCAACTGCAGCTGAGCTAGTAAAGCCACCAGCAGGTTACCCTTCTACTACTGTGGTGTTGCGTGAGAGTGAAGCTAAGTTGTTATCATTTCTATTTCACGATTATGGCAAGGGTGTGACATTTTACGAACGATCGAAGAAGGGAATGACAGGATGCGACGCAATAGGTATGAAAACATGTAGAGAGATTGAAGGAACCTTTTGTGACAACATAGAAACACAATTTGAAAGGCAAGTCCTGTACACAGGACCTGTTCTTGCTGAACCGACAAAGGGGACTTTAGAAGAACATGGATTATCGGATTGGCTCGAGATATTCGAGGCAGGATCAGTAGTGTTCTGCGCATTTGGGAGCCAAATGATTCTTGAAAAGAAACAGTTTCAACAACTTGTTTTAGGCTTTGAACTGACTGAATTACCATTTCTATTAGTTGTTAAGCCACCTGAAGGGACAAATTCAGTAGAAGAAGCCTTTCCGAGGGATTCAAAGAAAGGGTTCAAGAAAAAAGATTGATTCTTGATTGTTGGGTGCCACAATTGGAGATTTTAAGTCACAAATCAGTTGGTTGTTTTGTGACTCACTGTGGTTATGGATCGATGTGGGAGTCTTTGGCGCTGTGTGATTGTCAATTGGTACTTTTGCCAAGACCTTTTGAACATACTTTAATTGCTAGGCTTATGGAACAACAACTTAAGGTTGGCGTAGAAGTGGAGAAAGATGAAAACGATTTGTTTACAAAAGAGAATTTGTGCAAGGCTGTGAAATGTGTTATGGATAAAGATAGCCAAATTGGTCATCTTGTGAAAGAGAATCATAAGAAATGGAAGGAACTTCTTTCGAGTCCTGGCTTCATGAGTAACTACATCGATAACTTCATTCAAGACTTGCATGAACTTCTAGTTCAAAAGACCTAGATAATTAGCAGGGGTGGATCTAATGTTGAAGTTACGAGTTTGCAGAATTCAGTGTACTGTGTTAAGAAATTTTGCTTAATATGTACGAATAATTCATCCCAACCGATTCAGAATTTATAAACTCAAAACTGTCTATCTAGTGATGTAACTTGCATTTTTCGAACGTTTTCATTCCGTGTTTATGAGTTATACACCTTCCTCTCAAATTTAGAGTTTTTATTTTTAGATAACATTTTTACCTCTAAATGCACTTCTGAACACTCAAAGAAGTGTACAAGTTTAGATCTAAAGTTAAGTCTGGTATATTTTAACTATGGAAAAGGACCAAAAATATTCTGTCTACATTTTATTAACATAGAAGAGTCAATCCATTAGCTGCATTACAAGATTTTAATTCCATCTTCAGCCCCTCTTCCAAATGACATGTAAAACCAGAACAGGGAAGATTTTGTTCACAAACATCTAAAGTTGGTAAAGTTAAGAAAAGATTATTTTCAGTTAAATAAAATAAAATAAAATACAGAGAAGATATATAGATGAAGTTGAGGACTATTTATAAAGGATAATAATTTATCCATCTTTTGAACATAACAAAACATTATTCAGGTTTGTCCGTACAAGCTGTGTGTCCTGGTCCCTATTAAACAAAAATAAAAATAAACGCAAAATTAAATACAAATATAAAATAAAAATAAATCTTTTTAAATATAACTCAAAATTGGTATAAGATAGTGTTAAATTAGGTCTTGGGCCTAACTCACACCCCAAAAGCTAGCTCAAAGGGAGGAGGATTGCCTAAGCCTTATAAGGAGTTCACCCATCTCATTAACCACCGATGTGGGACTTTTGTCATTCTTTAACACCCCACCTCACGTCCAGTGCTTAGCATCTGGTGCGTGGGCAATTTTTGATTTTGGGGGTCCCAACATCGAGTGAGATGGGCCCTGCTCTGATACCATGTTAAATTAGGTCTTAGGCCTAACTCACACCCCAAAAGCTAGCTCAAAGGGAGGAGGATTGCCCAAGCCTTATAAGGAGTCCACCCATCTCATTAACCACCGATGTGGGACTTTTGTCATTCTTTAACACCCCACCTCACGCCCAGTGCTTAGCATCTGGTGCGTGGGCAATTTTGATTTTGGGGGTCCCAACATCGGGTGAGACGGGCCCTGCTCTGATACCATGTTAAATTAGGTCTTGGGCCTAACTCACACCCCAAAAGCTAGCTCAAAGGGAGGAGGATTGCCTAAGCCTTATAAGGAGTTCACCCATCTCATTAACCACCGATGTGGGACTTTTGTCATTCTTTTGGGGTGTGAGTTAGGCCTAAGACCTAATTTAACATGGTATCAGAGCAGGGCCCGTCTCACTCGATGTTAGGACCCCCAAAATCAATTAAGGTCCCATTTTTTCTTAAAAAATAAAAATCGCTCTTTGTTTAAGTATTTTCTCAAAGTTAATTTAATAGTGTAAATTATTATTATAACTACTTACTTAGTCATTTTCTCAAAAAAGGTTAGTCAATTAATTAAAAAATGATTTTTATGCCTTAATTTATTAAATTGGTTTAAATTATTATTTCAAAATGAATAAAATAAATTCTAATTAATCTTGTTTTATTAATATTCTAATCACTTGTATTTCGAGTCAGTTGTTCCATTTTGAATCCTTTTCTCTAAAAAATCAAAATAAAATGTGTCATTTATTTAAAAAAAATTTTAGTTAGCCAAATATTGTAAGTTATTCTTCTCATGTTAAATCACCTTTTCCAAAAATTGGTCAAAAATATGGTTTAGTCAAGTCGCAGATCAATCGCATGTTAGCGGACACTTCGAATGCTTAAACCCTTTTCGAAGTGTAAATTGAACTCCGAACCTTCTTTGGTATTTTCAAATGATTTTTTTTCTGTTTAAATCTTTGAAAATTATAAGTTTTCTTAATTTCTTTAAAAAATTAAGTGGCAACTCTTTCTAAGTATTTCTCAAATTGTTTTATACTTAGTGTTATGCCGTAATTTTCCTAACCTTTAGAAAAAATCACTTTTCCAAAATGTTCTAAGTATAAAACATTTTAAGAAAAATACTTAGAAAAGAGTCGCCACTTAATTTTTTTTTTTAAGAAACTAAGAAAACTTATAATTTTCAAAGATTTAAACAGAAAAAATCATTTGAAAATACCAAAGGGGGTTCGGGGTTCAATTTACACTTCGAGAAGGGTTTAAGCATTCGAAGTGCCCGCTAACATGCGGTTGACCTGCGACTTGACTAAAATATATTTGACTATTTTTAGGAAAATAACGATTTAATATAAAAATAATAACTTACAAAATTTTATTAACTTTGAGAAAATAATTAAATAAATGACGCATTTTATATTATTCTATTTTTTAGAGGAAGGGATCCAAAATGGAACATTTGACTCGAAAATCAAGTGATTAGAGTATTAATAGAATTAGATTAATTAGAATTTATTTGATTCATTTTTGAAATAATAATTTAAACCAATTTAATAAATTAAGACATAAAAATCATTTTTTAATTAATTGACTAACCTTTTTGAGAAAATGACTAAGTAAGTATTTGTAATCATATTTTACATTATTAGATTAACTTGAAAAATAGTTAAACAAAGAGTAATTTTCATTTTTTTTAAGAAAATGGGACCTTAATTGAAATATTTGAATTAGAGACAAGTAATTAGAATTTTAACGAAACAAAATGAGTTGGTTTTTATTTGAGTCATTTTTGGTTTATAAAAAAAATTATTTTTAACTAATAAAAGAAGAAAGAAAGTTTCGACTAAAGATTATAAATGAAAATACAAGAGTTGATAAAATAAGTTTTGTTAGAAACAAAACAACTCAGATGAATAGTTCGTCTTTTGGGGAATTCAACTAAGTTAATTAAAATTCTAAAGTTAGAGTTAAACAACAAATAATAAGTAATCGCAATTAAATAGTTAAAGCGTAAGGAAGAAATTGAATTTGGGCCTTTCTTGGGCCAAATTCGCTACTTTTTTGGGGTTTAAACAAAACCCGTTTTTGGTATATAGCTCATGTATATCAGTGTATATGAGCATGTATATCAGCTCTTTTCGTGTATCTCCTGCTTCCGAACACCTGTATTTCGCCTCAGCCCTGTATTCTCACATTTTCGACCTGTAACTTGCTGTATAATAAGTGTATACTGCTGTATACAACATGTATATTGGCTGATATATTGACTCCTCCCACATGCATATCAGCTTCCCAGTGACTTGAACAAGGTGGGATTGCCTCGAAGAAATTTTACTCGATGAAATGCGAGGAATGAGTCCGAAGTGAACTCGAATTGGTGTCATATGCA